CCCCCAGCCGCTGGAGCAGACCTCTCCCCCCGGCTATGTGGCAGGTCTGCTGCTGGCCCCAGGTGCCAGAACAGGGCCTCCCCTTGCCTCTGCCACGTGGCAGCCCTAGCTATCAGAGCAGGTCTCCCCACCATATGTATACAGCAGGCCCTGCCCTCCCCCTCCCAGTGGCTCCCTCACCATGCCGTCTCAGCTTGCCCCACCTGCTGGAGCAGCCACCTGCTAAAGCAGGAGGTGGGCAGGGGAAGAATTTTTTGTGCACAGGTGCACAACTTAGCAGGAGCTCCATTTATAGCCCTCTCCCCCAGATGGACTTCCTCCTCAGTTAAATCTTGCTTTCCTTTCAGGGAACTAAGTCCAAAAGTCCAATTAACAAACATTTCTGAGCTTGTGTGGGATACACTCTCTATTGCACTTCTAGATGACAGCTTATTGAATATTTCTCCCAATTCACCTTGTGTCTCTGGACTATTTTATTTTGGATCAGAGATGAAGTCAATTCAGTATAATTCTAGATCGTTCTTTTTATTTATTACAGACAAATAGCCAATTTAGAAAGTGTAGTTACCTGGAATGCTTGTTCTGCGCACAAGACATAAATCAGAGCTAAAGCTTTTATGAATCAAGTGCATGTCTGATTTGATCAACTCATAAGCATTCTTCAAAGCTTGAATGTCTATTAATAAAAATTTATATGAAGGATGACACACAATATTCTTTACTTTATGCCAGAGTGCACAGGCACTTGACTGTATTATTTCAGTGGTAAGTTTAAAATTATAATCTATTTTCTGTTTCATAAAAATTTCTCAACTAATTGCCATATGAGCACGTGCAGGTTATATAGCCTCCTTATTGAAAAAGGCTCTTTATATCTTGTCAGACCTTTCATATTTTGGAAGATATAACTATTCTTTTAGTGCCTAATGGCAAAGGGAGACATTATTCCTAGCTCCTGGAGGGAAACCTGGATTGTCTGCAGCTGAAGTATTCAAATATATAATGACTGAACTCCACAGTTGTGAGTGGAATAGACCAGTTAGTTAGAGGCAGTGCTTTTTTTGTGACGGTACTGCCCAGTAAGCAGGACCAGCAACTTCAGTCAGTGCTCAACAACTCTCCCCGTGGAGTACCAGTACCTTTTTTTTTTTTTTTTTTTAACTAAAAAAGCACTGTACAGAGGTCACCTGGAAAATGCATCCTTCCGCACATTGTGACTAACCATCTGGAGGTCCTGCATCAGGAATAGTTTGCAGCTATCCATGGCTAGGATTCAGGCAGAGTCCATGAGGGAATTAGCATGATGCTGCACTAGCTCACACATGGCTTACCCTATTATTCTTCACTTCTGTAGCTGCAGTTCTTAAGTCTCAGAGGAGTAGCTGTGTTAGTCTGTAACTTTAAAAACAAGTAGTCCTGTGGCACCTTAGAGACTAACCAAAAAAAAAGATAGTATTATGAGCAGGGTTCGACAAATAGTGTAATCTACTCACCTGTGGCGAATAGATTACACCCTGGAAGAGCCGATGCGGAGCGATCTGCACACGTGCAGAACGATCTGCACATGCACAGAGCGCAGAACCACGCAGCTGGCGAGCAGCACTCACCGCCACTCGGCGAGCCCTGATCATGAGCTTTTGTGGATTAAATCTCCCCTTCATCAGATTAGGTGGACAATGAAGTGGGGTTTACCCACAAAAGCTCATGATACTGTATATTTTTTTCTCTCTAAGACGTCACAGGACTGCTTGTTTTCAAATTAACAAGGCTGCCCAGAGACAGTATGATGCATCTACTTTATGATATGTGCGCACACACTTTAGACATGTTACATTTAATGCCCTTGGGATGCCACCAAATTTAATTCAGAGCTTCTCCAGTGAGCTGGTGGAGAGAGTTACTCTTTGTTTCTTGTCCTATTTCAGGACTCTCAAGTTATACTGCCTACTGTTCTTCAGGCACTCAGGCTATGGTCCGACATACCTCCATAGACTATTGCAAAAGGAAGCATTTCTGTGATGTAGATATGGTAGAAGGTTTTGTAAGGGTGGACCAATAGGGGCAGTACCAGAAGAAGGGGGACAAAAGCCAGGAGGAAAGGCAGAGGCTCCCCAATCCCTGTATTCCCATCCTGTGCACCCTTTACCACTAACTTATGCACATTGCCCCCTTCATCCCACCCCCTGCACTTTCCTCCTAGCTATGCCCCCAATCCCACCCTGCATTTCTAGTATGTCCTTCCATACTGCCCCCCCCGCTCATTGCCCTTCGCCCCCTTAGCCCGGAAACACCCATGCCCAGTTGTCCCTATCCTTTGGCTACGGTGCCCTGGACATGAGTCCAGTTTGCTCATATCTGAAGCTGGCCCTGCATGACAGGACAGCCGCCCACCACATGGCCCCATGGAGCTGAAATGGGGGTCAGGGTGAGGCTGCCCTAATAGGAACAGCTTCACTGCAGCCTCGGCTCTAGCTGCAGCACATGGGGCAGCCACCCCCAACATGGCCCCACTAGCCATGTCTCTGGGCTGCCACTGGATCAGGAATCCACAGCGCTGCTCCCCTTCCAGCAGGAAAGTGAATGCTGCTGCGTGGCTCTGCAAAGGATGTGGACGGGGGTAGAATTTTTTGTTCACAGCCACGAAGGTGTGCATTTTAGAAGAAACTGATTGGGATGCACTGTCACTTGGAGTGCAGCATCTACAGGGATACACATCTCAAAGAACCTCAGTTACTGCACGATGTGAATAACCTCTTCTTTTGAACATAAACATTCAGTCAGTGTGTCAGCATATTGCAACTTACAAATGCTTCTTTCTTTCAGATATTATGGTTGGAATGGGATATTCTCAAGAAGAAATTCAAGAATCCCTTAGTAAAATGAAATATGATGAAATCACAGCAACATACTTATTATTAGGGAGAAAATCATCAGAGGTGAGTATACAGCAGGAAAAAATTTTAAAACAAACTGATGCTAAATGCAAAAAAACTGAAGAGAGCAAATGATTGAACTAGAAGTTTCACTTGTATTAACTTAGTCAAGAAATTGTTTACATTGGTTCTACTACTGGGTGCATGGTCCATCATGTGGACAAGATCAGATTCTTTTGGCTGGTAATGCCCGTTTTGGCTGAACCTATATCCTAAATGTCCTTGTGTGTTTCTGTGCTCAAGGGTATAAAGCAGTGGTCTCCAACCTTTTTAAACATGAGATTACTTTTTGAATGTAAGTGCAATCCAGGATCTACTTCAAACCCAAACAGTCTTGCCCCCACCTCCTTCCCACCCCTTCTCCGAGGCCCCTCCCCTGCTCACTCCATCCTCCCTCCCTCCCTCTCTCATACTCACTTTTATCAGGCTGGGGGCAGAGGTGTAGGGGAAGGGGATGCAGACTCTGATCTTGGGCTAAAGGATCTGAAGTGTGGGAGGGGTTCTGAGCTGAGGTAGTTGAACAGCAGGGGGGTCAGTGTGTAGGCTCTGGGAGGGAGTTTGGGTGCAGGGGGACTCAGAGCTAGGGCAGTGGTTTGGGGAGCAGGAGAAGTTCAGGACTGGGGCCAGAATTTGGAATGCAGGCTCCCGCTGGGCACCGCTTACCACAAGTAGCTTCTGGGTGGTGGTGCAGGAGACTAAGACAGGCTTACCCCTACTTCCAGAAACAGCCAGCAAACTCTCTCCATTCCTGCCCCCCTGTATGGAGAATAGGAACAGGGTGAGGGGAGGGGCACCCTGACATCAGCACACCATCCTCTTCTTCCTGCGCCCTGCGCAGCAAGCAAGAGATTCCTGGGCGTAGGAGGCAGCTCCCAAGGCAGAGGGCAGGAGCAGCACGGCAGTGCTGAGCAGGGCAGATGAAGTGCCCGCACTTGACAGCCTCCTGACCAAACCTGTCAGGATCACCTGTCAAAGGCTCCAAGATCTACCAGTAGATTCCAATCTACTGGTTGTTGACCACTGGCATAAAGGAAAGAGGAGGCCCCACTGCCCCATAGTTTTTCAAATGCTTGTCTATGTACATATTCCACTGTTGATGTGCATGCATCCAATATAGTCCTGTTTGCGTTCGTTGAGGGTCACACCTGTGCACAGACTGAGTGTCTTCATGTCCCTGGCCCACGGGTGATCAGTAAGTGGGCCACAAGCCAGATGCAGTTCCCTAGGGTTAGCCCCTGTGGGAGGATCACTAGATGCTTTATTTACCCGAGTGTCCGCAGGTATGGCCACTTCAGTGAACTGAATGTGTTGGGAATCCATGTTGGAAGAGAGTAATAAAATGGAAATTAAGAACAAAAGAAGATGGCTTGTTACATTTTTCCTTAAGCATCAAGAGAAACTTTTCAAAAAAAGGGACTATATATATCTGATCAAAGTCACAAATAAGTTTTCTCCATCTAAACAGTTGTTTTAGTTGCCTCAAATATACTGCATAATCTTGAATGTTGAAAATGGGAGGAGAAGCAATCTGTCTATAATGTAGTCTACATAAAAATGTTGAGAGCCCACGTCTTAGCAAGAATCTATTGAGCAATCTTTAGAAACTAGCCTATTAGCCCGTCATAAGACGGGTTTTTCAGGTCTCTCCTCCACGTCGGTCTTCTCTCCGGAGCCTCCGGTCTCTTGCTCCGTCTCTCTTTCTCTCTCTCTCTCCTCCTCCTACTGCCTCCCCCTCTCTCTCTTAGTTCTCCTCCACCTTTTGCCTCCCTCTCCATCTCTTTCTTTGTCTTCTCCCCCTCCTGCCTCTCACTCTCTCTCCACCGTGAACGTCACTGTCCCACCCCACATCCCCTCCGCCATGGCACTCGGCTGAGTTCAGCACCTCTCTGCCAGGCCGCCGTGGAGGAGCAAGCGGAGCAAGTTGCCGTTTGGGCTCCCTCATGTCAGCCTGGCTGAGTGGCGCAGTATATGACCCTTCTTTCCAATTATAGTAACTCCTCATTTTAAGTTGTTATGTTCCTGAGGTATTTATTTTGGGGGGAGGGGATAGGGGTTTTTCTTTCTAAAATTCTCTCCAGATTAAAGGGAAAGGAATAAGGAATCTGGTTAAAATTAAAACTTTTAACACTTTACAGTTCAAATGTTCCTTTCTCTGTAAGGTTTAAAACATGTTAATAGTGTGTTTTCCTGATACTAAGCATACTGAGGTCCTCTTTTACACTGCTCCGTGTTGGACATGACTGGGCCATTTATTCCATCTAAATGAATACAACAAATGCCAAGGCTCAACATCATTTTAGTGTTTTCTTCTCCTCCTCTTGCTGTGTGTCTCTCGCTGTCCTCCACCTCCTCCGTTCTCCTCCGCGTTTTCTGCGTCTGCTCCGCTTTCCTCCTTTTGAATCCGGTGCCCTTTCCTGATGTCATAGACGCACGCTCGTCCAGGCCCCGCCCCCTAGCTGTTCCCTCTGGGCGGCGCTGTTGCCTCCTGCCGTGGCGCTCGGCTGACTTCTGCGCCGTTCAGCCGGGCCGCTGCGTGGGAGCAAGTGGCGCAAGCGGCCGTTTGAGCCCCGCGCTCCCTATGCAGCACCCAAACAGCTGCTTGCTCCTGCGCGCGGCCCGGCTGAGCGGCGCAGAAGTCAGCCAAGCACCACAGCGGAGGGCAACAGCGCTGCTCAGAGGGTACAGCCAGCATTTCAGTGTTAGTCACAGACATTGGGCTACTATATATAATGATATTTTTAGAATAGATTTTATCTTAATTTTTTCAAACATACTCAGTTCTCATTGAATTAATATGTATATGTTAATCTTTTTTAGTTCAAAAGATCTGCTTTTTTATTACTCGTATGGTGGAAGCATGGTAACTTTTTTGGTTTAGGGAATGGGAAAGGAGGGGAATTTATATTTCACCTTTGTGGAACTCAGAGCTAAAAATCGAGAGAGTGTTCTTTCTTCCGTAGTAAACAAGCATTGAACATTTCAGTGCAGAAAGAGAATTTATTGGAAAGTAGAAAGCCTGTGTAAGTGGGATTATAACTGTAAGGGCAATGCTTACCAATTAACTGGTTAGCCATTCACATCCATAGATTCAATTAGGGTCTTAGCAATAACTTCATTGTGGACTAAAACACCAAATTTTGACTTTAGTATTATAGGCTATCTTATGCTGGCTATTTTTAAAACAAAACAACTATTAAAACATTGGTTAAGCATTTTAATGTACTTTTAAAAGAAGTATCTACTTTTTTATTGTAGCATCAAATGTGTGGTTGGCAATCTATGCAGACATTAGAATATGGTCCTGCTCCAAAATGAGCACAAACGGAAGCAAACTTCAGAAGCAAACGCCCTCTTCTCTCCTCAATTTTATCCCTGTGGAAGGAATTAGAAGATAATTGTTTCTCAGCAAAATAACTTTTTCATATAATGCTCCTAACATTTCAGAAATAATTCAAACTATGCAGTGTTTTGTATAGTGAATGTAGTTTTGTATAGATTTGGTTACTACTTTAACACTATTTGAGTGAAAAATAAATAAAACATTATTTATGTTTGTACTAATCCTCCAGGTACAGAACTGGATCTAATTAGGGCATTTTTAAGGAAAATTATTTGCTTACTTAAGATGAACTTGAGAATCTCTGGACGTTCATTTTGATTGAAACTCATTTTTAAATTTTCTCTTAGTTGGATGCTAGTGATTCAAGCTCCAGCAGCAACCTTTCTCTTGCTAAAGTTAGGCCAAGTAGCGATCTCAACAATAGCACTGGACAATCACCTCATCACAAAGTGCAGAGAAGCATATCTTCCAGCCAAAAACAGCGACGGTACAGTGATCATGGTGAGAGACCCTGTTTTAGTGTGATAACACACATCTATTAATAAATATTTGATACTTCCTTACAGCCTGCACCTTTTAAAAGTGACTAACTTGCTTATGGTCTTGTAATTTAAAATCTGGTACTAATTGTTTTACAGCGATCAGGTATTCTTATGTATAATTAAGACCTCCTCAGAGAGATCTTTTTAAAGATTTACTGAGTGAGCCAACTTTTTCTATTATGACAATATTTTCTCTTGCCTATGGGGCCATCCCAGGAAAATACAAAGCACAAGTTAAACATCTTGCAAATTCTCTTGTTCAGTATGAAGTGCATCCTTCACTATCCCCAACTTCCATTATTGCCATACAGCTTTTGTTTCCTTTTGACTTCATAGGTCAGCCTTTGTCTAAAAGAACTTGGAAAACTGTCTTTTCGCCAGTATTTCTTCTTGTTTCCTTTGGAGGCTTGACACTTGAATTCCCTGCAGAGGTCTAGTTTTTAAAGAGTACCAGTGGCCCCTGCCAAATTTAGAACTTTTCTGCTTCATGGGGATGCAGAACATTCTTATCAAGTTTATTTAAATATCTTACAAATCTTTCTGCCTACACACTGCCTCACAAAGGGAATCTCCTTGGGACCTGAATATACTACAGGGGATATTTGCAGGCAGGAGAAGTCTCTTTCCACTCCCTGAATCCCCTCAGATTACATTGTCATTTAAGTTTTCGTGTATGTAGAATCAGTTTGGTTAGTGTTTGAAGAAAGCAACCGAGACATTTTAATTGTTTTGACTTTATTTGTATCCTCATTAAGTATGTCCGGAGAGGAGGTCTGATTTTTCAAAATGTAACATCTACATCTCAACTCCTTACATTTTAATATCTGGCATAGGATTTGTACAAATAGTTGGGCTTTTGAATATTTTGCCTCACCTTTAGGGGTACCAGAACAGCTTTCTGCTATTTCCCCCCTCTCTCCCCCCAATTCTGCAGGCCTGTGGGGGCCAATGGCACAAATCAGGATAGGTTTTGTGCCAGCAGTAATTGCTTCCAGTTGCCATTTCACCATTGCTGGAACATTGCTGGTTCTGGCTAGGCTCTGGAATGCCTATTGAATTGGGAGGAATTAAAACCAAGTGACCAAGAACCTGCTACAACAACTTCATGCAATTGGAGATCCCTTGCTCAAGGGAAATCTCTATCTGGGTTTAAACTAGTTTACATTTTTGTGTCAATGGCAAGAAAGAGAATAAAGCATAGCCAAAGATATGGCTCAACATTTAAAGTAAAAGAGGAATTATTGGAAAAGTACAAGAGGTAGTGTTCAAATGTTAAACTTCCATAGTCAAGCCAAATACTGTAAGAGCCTTTAGGGGACCTTTAAGAGTGTTTAATAGATTTTTCTTACGCTAAAATCTGAGGAACATCTCCAGCTAAAGAATTTAAGTAGCTGTCTATTCACCACCCATCTGTCTTACTGGAGAATGTTTACAAATTCTATATCTTTAGAAAATTATGTTAAAGGAAGCTTTAAGACTTGGTTTAAATCTTCACTTTATTCAATTTTTAAAAATCAACTTTGCTTTTGAGCAACTCATGTTTGTTATACATGGTTTTTTTAAAAAATGGATACGGCAGAAGTTTGGAAAAGTTTTTATGCCATAGTCTTCAGCATGTACAAGGATGAGATATTTTCTTAAATTTAATGAGCCATTTCCCCCTACAGCTGTTCCCTGACTTAAGAACAGGTTACGTTCTGAATAGCTGGTCGTAACTCGATTTGTTCATAAGTCAGAAATACCCCATATGAAGCACTCTAAGTGTAACCAAGCACCAGCACAGCAATCCATAATGAAAAATAGAAACACGAGAAAAAAACACTACTGCAGCAACAGCAAACTTTATTTAACAAACATGAACATGAAATACAAAACACAATGCAGTAATTGAAATACGGTAATGTGAATTGAATTAATTGGATAAGGAATTGGAGGAGTAAAAAACTACAGTAAGAACATCATCAATACATTCTATTTCAGCAGTTCCTTTGCTTCTAGAAGGCATTGGTTCAGTATGGGAGGCAGCACTGCTGGTGGCTTTCTTTAAAATAAATATCCATTTTGGACTGGACAATTTGTTTTTTCTTCTCATTATAAATTTCCTTATAGCAAGCCAGGGCGTCCTGAATTAAACGATCCACCATTGAGACTCTCACAACATTAGGGTCTATTTTTTCAAACATTTGCATTCCGTCATTTATTCTGCTGAAAGCTGCAGCCATTTTCATCACAAAGTTTTTGGGGGTGGCTGCTGCTTCTTCTTGGGCTGTTTGTCTCTTTCTCTGCTACCCTCTCCGCCTTGAGCTGTATTACATCTTCATTGCTCAGCTCCTCCCCGACATCCTCAACCAGTTGGTGTATGTCTTCATTATCCATTTCCAGATCCACTTCTTTCACCAACTGTACAATGTTATTAGAAATGTCTTCCAGTGCCTTTTCTTTTTCATAGCCTTTGAAACAGTTCACAAATCTTTTTAGGATTTTCTTCCATATGCCATTCATACATTGTGGAGTGACTTCTTCCCACCCTGCAGCAACATTCCATATGCAATGCAGAATGTTGTTGTCCTTCCAAAATTCATGTAATGTTTTGCCGTTTTCACGTTCTGTGGCAGCTACTGCCTTTGCAAATGTGTTGCGAAGATAATATGCTTTGAAAGCAGCTATGGCCTCCTGGTCCATGGGTTGGAGAATAGATGTGGTGTTGGGAGGCAGAAACACCACTTTCACATCTAAATGTAGGTCATTTAGGTATTGAGGGTGACTTGGAGCATTATCCAAAATAAGCAAAATTTGGAAATGAATTCCTTTCTCCAGAAAATATGACTTGACTTCAGGGATGAAGCAGTTCATGAACCAATCTTCAAAAAGTGCAAGCGTCATCCAGGCTTTCTTATTAGCACGATAATGGACTGGTAAAGTAGCCTTGCTGATATTCTTGAAGACTCTAGGGTTTTCAGAGCGATAAATCAAGAGGGGTTTCAATTTATACCCAGAAACATTGCCTCCTAACAAGACTGTTAGATGACCTTTGAAAGCCTTATAACCAGGCATAGTTTTTGCTTCTTTATGTATGTAGGTACATTTGGGCATTTTCTTCTAAAAGAGATCAGTCTCATCAATTTTAAAGGTCTGTTCTGAAAAATAATTTCCTTCTTTTATCAGCTTATCCAGTTCTTCTATGAAAGGTTCTGCAGCTTTCAAATCAGCACTGGCTGCCTCCCCACTTAATTTCACATTATGAAGGTTTGCACGCATCTTGAAATGGTTGAACCAACCGTGACTGGCAGTGAAAGTTTAGTCATAGTCATACCCCTCCTTTTTCTTTAAGTCTTCAAAAAGACTACAAGCCTTAGTTTGTATCATCATGAGACTTAATGGCGTGCGTTTTTCAATTTGGTCTTCCATCCACAGCACTAAGAGTTTTTCCATTTCCAGGATGGGACCTGCTCTTTGCTTTGTTAGAATTTTTTATTTCATAGGAGCAGACCCTTTCACTGCTTCACGCATGTGATTGCTATCCTTTAAAATGGTGCTGATGATAGATTTTGATAGCCCTAACTTACGCGACATGAAGGACACTGTTTGACCCCCTTCATATTGTCTCACTATTGCTATTTTCTGTTCCTAATCAATAGTTATTCTCTTTCTTTTCTCACCACCCTTATCACTAGCCCTTTTTCTTTTACTTGACATGATGGCCATAAGCAAACACCGAAAACACTGTGAGGGAATGAAACTTAAACACGCTGCCTGACCACAGACACGCAAACACGTGTTGCCGCGAGGTTGGTCGTAAGTGCGGATGGTTGTAAGTCGAGGTGGTCGTAAGTTGGGGAACGGCTGTATTTGTAGACCTCTTAAAAGTCAAAGATAACGAACTTAAGCGGTCAAAGGTTCAGAAGGCATTACACTACAGATATGTGCTTATAAATGTATTTGCATAATAAATAGCAAAAGTGTTAACTTCCACATTTGGCGGGGGGACATCTTTTCTTTTTTAGCTGGGCCATCTATCCCTCCAGTAGTGGCGTATCCAAAAAGAAGCCAGACTAGTACTACAGACAGTGACCTGAAAGAAGATGGAATTCAGTCAAGGAAATCTAGCAGTAGTGCTGTTGGTGGAAGAGGAGTTGCTCCAGCTAGCCCCATGCTTGGAAACGCTAACAATCCAAATAAGGCTGATATTCCTGAACGTAAGAAAAGTTCTGCTGTCCCCAGCGTAAGTGGAAGCATTTATTTCTTAAAGCATATGAAAACGAAACACTTTGAGTAGGAGACTGTCACTTAACCCAATGGTCTGTCACTGGCTTTTGTTTATTTGTGTTTCAATGATTTTATCTTCTTTTCACTTCATTACCCAGGAGCAGATGTAGGTATCTCATATACTCAGTTATATACTGTTTGCTTCTGTCACCTTCCCAGGAATTTAATACTTTTCACTATTATCATTTCTGAATTAGTTCGTTAGGATAAGAACCAGAGGTACATTTTAAATAAATCCAAGACAAGAAAAGGAACTGAGAAGCTATCCTGTGAAGCAGATAGTATGGGTCAGAGGTGATCTCTGAAATCCCACTTGCTCTTTTAGGTTTCCTCCTCCGCAAAAAACTTCTGTATCCCATATCCTTTTGCATACATTGATTAAAAAGGATCACCTATACCACGGTTTGGTAAACTACGGCACGCATGCCATAAGTGGCACACAATCTGATTTTGAGTGGAATGCACAGCAGGAGCTCAGGCTCCCCAGCCCTTTCTGCCCCTGTACAGCAGGGAGCCCGTGCTACCGCTGGAGCCTTATGGCCAGTGCATAGCTGCAGCACTAGCTCTGGGGGGCAGGTGGGGAGGCTGCAAATTGGGCTGTGCTCTCCCCCTTCTCTGCCCGCCCAACTCATGTAGCAGTGAGCTGGTGGAAGCAGGAGAGCTGCTGGTGATGGTGAGCGTGTGGGGTCTCAGCCAGGCAAGTTCCTCCAGTGGCTGGGGTCAGGACTTGGCCCATGTGACTGTGATGGCTGCTCCTCCTGCAGCTGGGGCCAGGGCTGCATAGCAGAGTTGTGGCTGCTCCGGGAACCGTGTGGGAGATGGGCCATAGTGAGGCTGTCTCTGCTGGGTCAGCCTCACCACAGCCTTGGTTCTTGCTCTGTGGCAGCCATGTGGCAGCAGCGCTGCATGGCGGGCGGCTGCTGAGGGGGTGATCAGCCCAAATGGAGAAGCAAGGGTGCTCTGGCGGCAGCCGGGTCACATGGCTGAGTGGGGCTGCTCTGGGAGTGGCTGGGCCACAGGGTAGAGCCGGGTGTGTGCCAGCCACAGGGAGGGGGGGGGCCCACTCTGGGGTGCTGTCTTCCTGATTTAGAGGTGGGCAGAGGAATGCAGAGCCTCTTTCCAGCCCCTCCGCTGCCTGTGCCTGGGAGTCCTGTCACCGCCTCCTCCAGTCTGTTGCTCTTGCGCAACCCCATCCCTGCAGCCTTGGCACTCCCTGATCCGCTCACCTCCCTTTCTACTTCATGGTGCCCCTGGCAGGTGGGATAAAGATAGCACTGAAGTCATGCCCATCTGCCAGCACTACCGGGCCCCCGCTAGAGGGTGAGTGCTGCCCGCACTGTAGCTCTGGGGTTGGATGGGGGGGGGAAGGAGAATGCAT